CTGCCACTTGCCCCCTTCTGTCCAGAGTGAGCCGCGCCCGAATCCTGCCCTCCTCCCCACCCCAGCTGGGCAAGCAGCAACAGGGCATAGCTTCCACTCCCAGCACTGCTGTGCCCACTTCCCGCATACCCCTCCGCCCCCCTCCCTGAGTCCTGTGTCCCCCATCCCAGCTGGGCAGCTTTTCCCAGCCCCAATCCCTCTCTCCCCCACGCCTCTTCCCTGCCCCCTCTGCCCACCACAACAGACTTACCAACTGAAGGCAGCTGTGTCCAGTGTGGTGAAAACTGCTGCCTGTTTAGTCTATGGCCAAATCTCCAAAGTGGTGCCGAATCATTGGATCTGATTCGGCCGAATCGAATCAGGACAGTGATTTGAATTTCTGAATCAAATCACCGTCCCTCTGAATCGGCTGAATCCAAATCCAAAGCAAATACTTGCCGTTTCACATAGGCTTATTATCAATCAGGCTAGCTACAAGGCTTTTTACCACTATGCCTCCTTTCTCCTGCATCAAGTCCTTGTATCTACTGCTTTTGGTATTATATTTTCTCCTTGCCCACTTCTCAGCTGAGTCTTTTAAAACTCAGAGACTTTAGGCAAACACATTGCTGATACAGAAGAAAGAACCATGGCATTAAAGTAAACTGTTAGGCATGTCAGCATCACCCTAAATTAAAGGGACAATATCAAGGAGTTCAGAATTAAAATGTGGGTTATGATTGCTTGTAGTATCCACTTCTTTGTATACTGATATAATTAAACAATACTGTTGTGACCTTTCTTAGATGAATTTCAAAGTGCTATTCCTATTGCAGCACCTAGACACTGGTGTAGTAAAGGAACTCATGTACTGCAGGGGACCATGACAAGGACCTAGCTACTGGGATATAATAGGAACACTGGAGGACTACTATTGCTGGGGGAGGGACATAAAGAGGAAAGAAGGAAGAAGCCAGATATAGGTGTCAAGGCTCTGAGGTGCCTAGGACCTCAGTGCCTTGTAATTCACCTCTGACCCACAGAGGTGATATGATCATGCCCTATAGTCTGATTGCTCTGTGTAAAAAATGGACTAATGGGACAACTAGGCATTCAGCTTTGTGTACAAAGAAATATTCCTAAGTAGCATAAAGCTAGCATGGCTGCCTGTTTTCTGCCCTCTGCTCTGCTGCCCAGGAAGCATGTCAGGGAAAGAAGGACGTGTGGCCATAATGTACTATGTAATCCTAGGCCAGTGAAATGGCTCTCAGGGACTATTTTGGCTGTGGCAAGTTAGAGCAGCCTAATGACTGCTAAACTGTGTGTCAGCAGACAAAACAGCCTCTAACAGTTCCCAAACCATCTCTGCTCCTCTCAGGTATGCAAAACAAGAGCCCCACCAATATCTGAGGATTAACCCCCTCTGTCTGTATGTGTCCACAATGAAGGTCTGGAGTGCTCTGGTGCTCACTTGGGTGCCTATGTCAACAATCAGCACCCCTGGATCTGGTATCTTTCCAATGCCAACCACCTTGAATGAGGAGATAGGCCCCAACAATGAAGATTTCTTGACACTTCTTTCTAGTGAATTGCTCTGCAAGTTAAAAGTACCCAGCTGAGATTTTGTGACAATTTGTGACTGCCTAAATAACAACATCTGAATGATACCTGGAGTTAAGAAAATTTCCTCTTGTAAAAAATACATGGGCTAAAAAACATACATATTTTTTTATTATGTTTATGTATAAACATCTCTCCTTTTGCATCTTCCAGATTTTCTGAAAAAATCCACACAGGATGATTTAAGCATCCTGATGTGCACAGTGGCACTACACGAGACGCTACACGAGACACCGACTGCGCAGTTGTTACTGTACAGTCATTTGGTACTTGCATATACAAGTACTAAATGACCACACAGTAACCAGAGTTACTGCACAGTAGCGTTGCCAAATGGCTTTTTGGTGATGCTGACTGCACAGGAGCTCATTACTACTGTGCAGTAGTGTCATATCATGCTTCATGCCATGCGATACTGCTGTGCAGTAGTAATGAGCTACTGTGTAGTCAGCATCTCATGTAGATGCGGACAGTTATTCCAAATAAAATTGAGTGGGTATAAAATAGGACTTAAAATGAAAGTCTGGTTTCATTCTGAATTATATGGTTTTGCTTAATGCCTTCAAGGGTATGATAACACATAGTACCTTGCGCTTTTTATTCAATTTTTTTGTGCGATTCTCCTTTTTGCTCTCATCTTCATATACCAACACAAAGTCAATTCTTCGTTGGCCATCATTGAAGAATAAAGAGTCAGGTTTACGATCAAACTCCACCTGAAAGACAGGTAGAACATTTTTATTATGAAGCATTTTACCAGTCAATTTCCATACCTGTAGAATACATATAGATGTTGAAGAGTAGAAATACTCAATACCTGTTACACACTTATAGCATGTTGTTAAAGTAGCAACAAACTAAAGATCCTAATATGTATTCTGGAAAGTCTGGCAGGTCTCTGCATGACATGAGGATAACAGAACTTCCACTTAATTTTGTCTTTCAAAGATCGTAAATTAGAGATCTAGCAATAGGAGGGGTATTAGGCTGCAATACCATTACCAAATAAGGCATCTGCCAAGTAATTTATGTACCATCATGGCTATGCTGCTATGGAGTCTTGATATGAAACATTCTGGCTCCTACAGGGATTTTTAGAGTAAGTGCCTTCCCATCTGTCCCATTACCTGCCAGAAATCTGGACAGCTCAATAACTTAAAAAACCTGTAACAACTTCACATACATGAATATCCAAAAGCACCAGTGCCTCAGAATGAAGAACATGACCACAGTGCAAACTCCCATTCACAAAATGTAACACGTCCCATGTGGATACACTTCTCATTTTTATTAGCAAAATCTCAGCCAGGAAAGAACACTGTTATATACCACACATCCATCATGCTATAATGTATACCATAATCAAATGGATTAATACATCTATAAACTATCACCCAGTCCCTGGAGGAAAGTAGGATGGATTATCACCTTCACTTATAACATCTTACTGTATTATTTGATACGTATGACATATTAGGGGCATTGATAATGGGACTGATGGGGGAATTTGAGTGCCAAAGTTATGATTTCACAGTCTGTGTGAGTACTGAATGGGCATGGCCACATATTGTAATGCTCATCACCACATTTTCTCATTAAAAATTAGAGATTAATACCATCAGAATTCTTGCACTATCTGAAGGAGAGATAACACAAGTGTGCCACAGGCTAAACTGGAAAGTATTCATGATTTTGGGCCAGATCCTCAGTTGGTGTTAGTGGATGTAGCTCCATTGAAGGCATTTAACATTAAATACAGCTGAGGAATCCCACACATCATTATATCAAAGAAGATATGCTTCCAGAAAATAGCAGAATTGTCATATACAAGAACCTTCCCACATCTTTCCTTGACTGATACCCATTATACAGTTACGTGAGTTAAGATTTTATTCTTCCTCCTTGTGCAAAATTAATAAACAGCCAAAGGCAAGGGATTATACATGTATAGTCAATACAGAATATCAGGACCAGGGTCCCCAGGGCAGACAGCGAGTCTAGGGATTTGGACTTCCTGGGACAGACTTCCAGGATCTGCAGATCTGGGGCAGACTCACCCTGAGGACTGCCTTTGGGGGACAATCCAAGGACTTCTAGATTTTGAGGGAGGCAGCTAGCCTCAGAATGTAGAAGCTCAAAGATCCCCAGAGCTTGGCCATCTCAGCTCCAGCCATGAAAAAGCTACTGAAATTACTAAACCTGGGAAGCCCCTGCAAGCACTGACTGCATATAAGTACCCTAACTGTTAACCAAGGCTGAGGTTAGTTGAATGGTTGTCTCCACCCTGCAACCTGTTTGATTCACAGAGCCAATAAATCCTGATAAGAAGAACTCAACAGAGGTATGCATGCTACTCAAAGCCTCAAGCCCGTAGCTTTACTCATGTATTTGTTTGTCTCCTAGGTCTTGTCCTGCTTCAGAGTAGTTCCTGTTTCAATTTCAGCCTTTCGCTCCTGCCATAGATTTGTCCTTGGTTTTTGCCTGGGCTCCTGTCTCAGCTCCTTCCCTGGCATCTAGCTCAGGGGTGGGCAAAATAGGGCCCATGGGCTGAATCTAGCCCACCAGGCACTTTCATCTAGCCCATGGGCACCCACCAACGAATTGTACCCCACCCAGCTAGGGTGGGAGCAAGGTGCGCACGTATACACATGCCCACCAACATACCCAAACGTGCCTCGCTCCCACCCGCATGGGTGGAAGGGCCCAGCCCAACCAGCAGCAGCTTCTGGGAGGGGCCACTGCTGCTGTCACTGCAATCGCCCCAGAGGGACTGGCTTGGCTTCCCCAGTGTCCCGCTCATTCCAGGCAGCAGGTAGGGAAGGGGCAGGGATGGGGATGGGAGGGAACTGCACTCGCACATTACTGGGGGAAGCCCTGTGCTGGAGCCAGCTGCCTTCCCCGTCCTCTGCTGCACAAGTCTCGAGACTCCATGGGGAAGCAGGGGGCAGGGCTCCTTCCATTTCCAGTAGAGTCCCAGGACCTGTGTGGCAGGGGGTGGAGAAGGCAGCCAACACCAGCGTGGGGCTTCCTCCGGTGCTACCACACAGAGCCCCCACAATAGCGGCAGGCCAGACAGGCTGTGCTCCTCGCCCCCACATGCAGTGCTGGCCGGAGCAATGTGCCACCAGGTACCAGCACCTGCATGGGGCACAAGCACTCCAAGCACCCCTGCCTGCTGCTGCTGTTGGTAGCAGGGCCTGTGGGTTTTTGGTGTTTTTTTTCTAGTTCCAAGATAGCAACCCTCCCGTCCCAAAAGGAGTATTTTGCAGGGGGGGGGGGAGGGGAAGGGGCAAGGGTGGCAAAGGTCAGGGGTTAGGGGGTAGGACTTCTGGTCCCAATATGGCAACCAGGGGATGGGGCAACTGTCAAAGGGCAGGGCTACCCATGTGGCCCTCAGAAGCTCACCAAACTTGTTAAGTGGCCCTCCAGCCAAAATAATTGCCCACCCCTGGTCTAGCTCCTGCTCTGTTCCTCTCTCTTCTGGTATCTCAGTTATAAAGACACTATGTTCTTAGGTTGATTGAGTTTGACTCCTGATTATGGCTTATCTGCTGGTTCATAAGTCTGGCTTGTCTCTTGGCTACAGACGCTTGACCCTGACTGTGAAGTCATACTGCCCGTGCCTTTGAGTAGTCTGATTGTGGAGTCAGACTTCCAAGTTATCACACTGAAATTGCCATTCTTGCTAATGGTGGATGGAGCTGACAAGCATGCCAATTTCAGGGAACAGCTTTGGGATCCAAAAGAAATATGTTTTATTTGAAAACACCCTGTGCTGGTATTTGCAAACCATTTTTCAGACTTCTTGGTTTTTAAGATTTTTTTTAATCATTTTTTTAAATGCAAATGTTCCCATAAACCAGAAATCTGGCATTTCAGTCAACTTTACTCCAAAGCTTTTCCCTGCAGGAAAAAAAAAACCAACAACAAAACTTAGCTGCATTGTGTCCTTTTACTCCAACCATTACATTGTCACAAAGTACTTCCACTTTGATGGGAGCCACCAAGGTTTAATACTCTCTTTGGTCTGGAATATTTATGCTGTAGGTCTGCTAGAAAATGGTTGATTTCATAAATGCAGAGACATTCAATGATTCAGCAATTGTGTAATTGATTGAATTCACAATTAGAATTCATAAACTGTATTGGACCGATCCCAAAATCCCAGTATCCTGGGCCAAAAAGCTTTCAAAAAATTAATAGTTTAAACTTCCAGTTAGACAGCATCTCCTAGACTACTGCAATGAGACTGACAATCTCTGTCAATCAAATGAATCAGCAGCTGTAAATCCTAGAATTATAAGAGTTGGAGCTGGAATAGTCCTATTAGGTCAACACAGATTGCCTCTGCAGGCTTTCTTTCTCTCAGTAGGAGTTGTACATATAAAATGTGAGGCTGCCAATGCCCTTTCCATTCTAGTTTTAAGTGTTTCATGTGACTGGGGTTAGGTATAAAGTGACTAGAATCTAGTCTGGAGTCAAAATATCAGCCTACTGCCAAACAGATTTCTTTTTGTTTTACATGAATGTCTTTTTTCCACAAAAACAGAGTCTGATAATACTTTTAGAACGCTTCTCACCTTTCTTGGAATCAGAATAAACCTGGGAGTGATATTCAATTCAGGATTTGTATTTTTATCACACTGATTCTACCATGACAATTAAACTGTCATTTCCATTTAAAAAACCCCATGCAATATGCTTTCAGGAAGATGATGAAATTATTAAAATCAAGCCAACAAACAGATGCTCTAAATATTATAATTATACTAAAAACAATTTATACACTTCTTGTAATTAAAAGACATAGAAACTGAATCCTAAATAGGTTAATCTCTAGATCATAAATTGCAGTAGACCCTCATGTTATCCAAGACTATAATTACAGAGGAAGATGTTGCAATCCCTTTGTGTAGATTGCCTAACACTTTCCAGTATAAATATTTTGCATTTTGGATTCTCTAGTTGCATTTCCATTGTTAGCAGAAGGTCTTTGGCATTCAGCCAGAAGAAAATCCTCAGGGTAAACAGAGAGGTGCCTTTTCTTCATCCCATGAAATTCCATTCATGTTCTGCTAACAAGACCTATTGAAAAATCTCTATTTTACTTTTTCCTGCCTTTGATAATCAGGAAAATATTACCTGTATGCCAAAGCAATGGGAGCTGTCCAAGAGCTGCTGTAGAGTGCTGCTGTGGAGTCATGGAAAGAAAAGGAACCAGATATGGCTTTTTCCATACTCTGGAGTACATGAACCTAGTAGCCTGTGTTTTTCTTGGAGTTAGCAGTCTTTTCCAGGTGCTGGCTAATAGGGTTGTCTATAACTTAAGGTAAAAAAAAGACTGAAAAATACTTCAAACCTCATAATGAATAATGGGGGGAAGTGTTCTGTAATATATTTTCTTTTTAAAATTTTTTTTCTTTTTTTAGACAAAACTAGCATATGAGAATCCTTGAACCCTGTGCTAAAGAAAGTGCTTTAAGTTGTGAGAGTCAAGCACCTGAAAGTTAAAAAGACTTAAGTATGCCCAGGCAACCTTGATTTGGCCACCAAAGAATTCTATTTGCATTTGTGTATCTAAGCGGCAGTTTTTTAGACATCAACGTGGCTGTTTTCAGCATCTTCTTTATGCTTTGGGCACACAGACCACATGTGTATGTACCCACAAATGTGCATGAGTTCCAGAAAAAATGATGGAAGGGGAAGGACCATCTGT